TTCTTATACTTTAATTGAAAACTGTTTACACAGTGACTGACTTCCCGATATTGATTGTAAAAATGTGAATTTGTGAAGTTGATAAATGTAGTTGTTGGGGTTGCTGTTGGCACAAGGCTTGCCAGAAATGCATGACATCCTGCGCTTCCATGACAACCAAACTTTGAAATGCAACATCCTCAAAACAAATCGATGATTGTAAAAGGAACCTGTACAAATTAAACTGAACATGCTGAAGATGCAAAAACTAGAAAAAAATGGTTTTAATTCTGACATTTAAATACAGTGCAGTGACGATTCTGCTACAGACCCTGTGTGGTACCAAGGTGGTGATGATAGGGATGATTATACAGGAGAAATAACAAACAACAAATATAGAAGGCCTATGGCAAGATATGCTGTTACATGAAGAAGTGTTACAACCAATTTTTATCCAAATCAAACACTCATCCCCAGGGGAAACAATACTGGTTTGTTTGTTTGTTGTTTACAGCTGCACTCAGCAATATTCCACCTATATGATAGTGGTCTGTAAATAATCGAATCTGGAGCAGACAATCCAGTGATTGACGTAATGAGCATCATGCCATCCATTTGGGAGACAATGTTGGTAATAAGCCAGTGTCTCAAGGATGGCATAACAGTGAGTAAGATGTCATCTTGATGTGGGAGAAGGCAAGACTTGCAGATCTTAGAGGTATAGTACTTGTGCTAATCTGTGATTTGAACTTATGATCATAGAATCATGCACAGTACATTCACATAGTAACTGCACACACACCTGTGCCACCTGTTCCTCCTAATGGCATTAGAGGTGAGGTGAGGTGGGGTTTAATGTTGCATGAAAGATTATTGCACTTATATAGTGACATGCATGCAGGTGTGTGTGTGGCTGCTTGTTCTCATCTTGACCTGTGCTCTTTCTTATTGTGCTAGCCCACTGAGATACCCTGCCGCAGTTTAACATGAATACCCGACTCAGACTCAGTATACTCCCTCAGTATACACCGATCAGTTCATGTTTAATCTGCTGAATGCAGGGTTTGAACTTAACACTAGCCCGCTAGCTCTGGGCTAGTAAAAGTTCCTGTGGGCAAGTACATATTTCCCAATTTCCCCATTGTTTTAACATTGCAAGGGGATTTTATTTTTACCCAGGCTAATAAATCATTTGAGTTTAGTTCTAACCCTGTCTATCATGGTTTCAATATTATAAGACCTAGGTTCCAATATATCAGACGATGTCCAAATACCAATGATTTCATCTTGTGTGATCTTAGCTCCTGCATGAGTGAGTGAGTGAGTGAGTTTGGTTTTAAGCCATGTTAAGCACCAATATCACGGCGGGAGACACCAGAAATGGGCTTCACACATTGTGCCCATGTTGGGAATCGAACCCGTGTCTTCGGCGTGATGAGTGAACGCTGTAACCACTAGGCCACCCGACTGCCCAGCCTATGCATGATGAACACTAAGATTTACTAAAGAAGACATATATATATGTAACCACTTAACTTCATGGACACATTTCAAAAATAATATTTGAGCAATTGCAGTTTAGGTTTACAGTTTGATGCCATTTGTATGTTTTTTATTTTGTTCAGACAATACCAATTAATAATTCATTACAAATAAGATGAAAAAAACAAGTATTCCAGTATAGTATATAGCATGTGACCCCGTGAAGATCCGGGGTAGAACAGATCTTCAGCAACCCATGCTTGCTGTAAGAGGCGACTATGCTTGTCGTAAGAGGTGACTAACGGGATCGGATGGTCAGCCTCGCTGACTTGGTTGCATGTCATTGGATCCCAATTCTGTAGATTGATGCTCATGGTGTTAATCACTGGATTGTCTGGTCCTGACTTGATTATTTACAGACTGCCATCATATAGATGGAATATTGCTGAGTGAGGTTTTAAACAACAAACAAACATAACATGTATGGTGGGTTAACACTGTTTGTGGGTAGCAAATGATATACTTGAAAATCATCACAAAATACTTCAAGAATAAAATAATATAGAATTCATTATATACTTTTGTTTTTTTTCAAGGACGTAGTTTGTAGAAATACTGTTGAATATATCAAATATTGCAGCCTTAATGCGATATGTTTATAACAATATAGTTTCATAATCAAAGCATTGATATAGTGTATGGAAATGACAGGCACATGCAGACATATTCACATCTATGGTACAATGAAACAATACATAGGATAAGTGTTACACATATTATTCTTTCAGCATTACCATCAGCTGTGCATGAAAACACAACATTAAAATACCGTATTAGCCATATTAAGCTATCTGCTCCAATAAGAGTCCCCGACCATCTTCTAGATCTGTTAGTAATCTTTATAAACAACCCTCACAAAGACCATCTTCCCAAGGCAAGGGCGTTAACTGACTTAAAAGTCCATTTTTCACCCTTGATGAACTGGGCTGGAATTTCGTGGCTCGATGGTAGCACTACCAGTGGCTATTATGTTATGTCCCTCCTATTGACCAATCAGATTCCATGTTTCATATCACTTGCCTCTGCTTTAAACAAAATGGCAGCACCCAGTCAAGATGATCTGATCAATAATCAAGATTTATATTGTAATAAAACAGGCCTTACCCTGTAAAGTTCATCAAATCATTTGAGCACCTTGATAAAAAACATGAAAAGAGTTGAAAAATATCTGTCAACACCAAGTTGACAGTACACATCTTTGCAAATCCTGCAGTCGAACGAAATCTGCACGTTGAAATCTATGTTGTTTTCAAACTGGACGTCTTGTCAGTCACAAGATTTGGTTTGGACTATACATAGACTCGTTAGTCCAGCCAAAATGTAACTCCGGAATTCCAGCCTAGTTTTGGCAAGGGTGGAAACTGGACTTTTATAGTTAGTGCCCTTGCCTTGGTAATTTAAGATGTACTAAGACCTCATTTACATTACAGTCCATATTTTCTTGTGTAGAATACAGATTTTTTACAGAAAAAGGCAGAGCAGAAAGGGTACAATATTGTATCAATATTGAAAATAATTTAGTTTCATCGATGTTTGAAGAAAGTTTGTTCACTACCACTCAATGTGGCAATTTTCTAAATGCTGAGGGTGCTTATTATGGCAAATATGGTAAGTTAAAAAACGTTTCTTGTTTCTCCATATTTTCATGAAGTATTCAGGTCATATGTACATGATATCACTGTAAATGATATCACTGCTGATTTAGACCAGACCAATAGTTTTCTTGTTATGATGATAACAAAAAACTTACTTCCAGTCACTCGTGACCAAATTTCTTAAAATTTAATCTTGGATTTTGGCTACAAAACAGAAATACAATTGATCAGGGCTAAAGAGCAAACCCACATAATCAAAACAGAAATAGTCAGTGAATTCAAAGCAATTTTGGCTCCATACTGAATGTCATTGCCGATGAACCAATTGCTTTCAACTCAGCACAATAAAATATTGTACACAACAGAAACACACAGAATGTTTTTTTATTGGCTGACATTTGTCTTTAAAATGATCAACAATATAATCTTAAACATTGATCTACATAAAAACACAACTGATTAGAAATATTAAAGTTGTTAAAATAACATAGATAACCATGCTCATAAACATCTGAAGCTATGATATAAAGAGAAAATAGTTAGTTCCTGCATGTCAAACATCACTAAATACCTTCCCAATCAATTGGCTCAAAATAATGTTATTAAGCAACTCAGTTCTAAAATAATCTGTACATTATCTTTAGCAAACTATAGAATACAATATGCATTTGGTCCATTTTTAGGGCTACTTAAAAAAAACCTTAGCCCTAACTATACATTTGAAAAAGAAACTGGTAAATGTAAACAGTTTATTACTAATTAAAGCTAAAATGGATAGAATTATCATTAAGCCGCCCGCACGTTATCAGAAATGAGCCGGCCACTGTAACTTGATAATGCCCTCATATTGCTTGACGACGGGTCATTATCAAGCCCGTTGTTAGGTGACGTCATAGGGTACAGAAAATGACGTCACAATATAACTTGATGTCATTTTCTCTGGTTTATTCTATGACGTTTCCATATTTGTAAAATGTGGTCAGTGACATTCGCGTTGATTGCAGTAAATGTTTCAAAACCGATGTTGTTGTTGATTCCATCCATTTTAGCTATAACAACAGTTACGCTCTTTTTCAGTTCATTATCATTTGCAGAAGCCCTCGGTCTTTTCAACTGCCCTCCTTCGTCGGGCGGTTAATGGAAGACCTCAGGCTTCTGCAAATGATAATGCCCTGAAAAATAGTGTTACCCTTATAACAACCATTTAACACAGAACACATAGACAGAACAAGAGGAATGTGTTTGATTACCTTGCAGCCAAACTCTCACATTAATTATAATCACAAAATAATAAACCAAATCCATACTGAAGTAATGCTAGAAAAAGTAAATGCCAAAATGGCAATCACCAAATATTTGGCTTGTGATGTCTTTGGGTGGTAATGATAATGTTACTGGTTTCTTTGAAATGACAAATATCAGCAGTGTTGATACAAAATATTATAAAATAAATAAAAGATCAAAACTGTATGATACATATGCAAATATCACAGATGTGTATCGCAATTTCACAACAAACTGAATGATATAATTAGAAATAACAATGCTTTCATGTTTGTAATTCTGTTGATAAAGATGATATTGAAAGACAGTTATTCAATATTGTAAAATGTACTGTTAGCCATAAAAATGTGATTCATCAGCAGCTTATTTATAAGAAGGTCCTCAGGCTTTCTGTATCTCAGTTGGAAGGATACTCATCAGCAACCATAGAGCATAAAGTTTGAGCCAGGATCCTGGCACAAACAAAGGGATGCAACTCTGCATAGCAAATGTGTCCCCTTAGACCATAGACTTATGTTTATGTTTTTTCTTTTAAAACGTTGTGACCTATGCCTCAATACAGTATCCAAGGGTAACAGCACATTATGAACTTATATATATATATATATGCACTGTCAATACTTCAAGGGTTTGTATACTCTAGCCTCCTCCATCATACTGAATATATTGTCAGCTTTGGGGTGTTGTTGGTATTTTTAACCAATGAATCAAGCCACGGCCTGTTTCTAGTAAGTGGGAAACCAGTGAGTACTCTGACCAATGAGAGTTCAGCTTACATCCCACACTCTTTCTCACTTCACATCGTGTCGTATCTGCCATATCTATAGATTTGTGGTATCTTCTCTACACACTGCCTCCATGTCAGACAATGTTGGTGATCACACGACATGGGCCATAGCCTTGTGGTATCTGTCCACACACTGTCTCCATGTCAGACAATGGTAGGGATCACACAACACGGGCCATAGCCTTGTGGTATCTGTCCACACACTGCCTATATGTTAGACAATGTCAGGGATCACACAACATGGGCTATAGCCTTGTGGTATCTGTCCACACACTGTCTCTATGTCAGACAATGGTAGGGATCACACAACATGAGCTATAGCCTTGTGGTATCTGTCCACACACTGCCTCTATGTTAGACAATGGTAGGGATCACACAACATGGGCCATAGCCTTGTGGTATCTGTCCACACACTGCCTCTATGTTAGACAATGGTAGGGATCACACAACGTGAGCTATAGCCTTGTGGTATCTGTCCACACACTGTCTCTATGTTAGACAATGGTAGGGATCACACAACATGAGCTATAGCCTTGTGGTATCTGTCCACACACTGCCTCTATGTTAGACAATGTCAGGGATCACACAACATGGGCTATAGCCTTGTGGTATCTGTCCACACACTGTCTCTATGTCAGACAATGGTAGGGATCACACAACATGAGCTATAGCCTTGTGGTATCTGTCGACACACTGCCTTTATGTTAGACAATGGTAGGGATCACAAAACATGGACTATAGCCGTGTGGTATCTGTCCACACACTGCCTCTATGTTAGACAATGGTAGGGATCACACAACATGGGCTATAGCCTTGTGGTATCTGTCTACACACTGTTTCCATGTCAGACAATGGTAGGGATCACACAACATGGGCTATATAGCCTTGTGGTATCTGTCTACACAGTTTCCATGTCAGACAATGTCAGGGATCACACAACATGGTCCACAGCCTTGTGGTATCTGTCTACACACTGTTTCCATGTCAGACAATGGTAGGGATCACACAACATGAGCTATAGCCTTGTGGTATCTGTCCACACACAGTTTCCATGTCAGACAATGGTAGGGATCACACAACATGGTCCACAGCCTTGTGGTATCTGTCTACACACTGTCAATGTCAGACAAAGGTAGTGATCACACAAACTTCATGAAGGAGTTGGTCTCATTTGACTTCTGTTATACACAACCCCATGTCTACAGTTGACTTAAAATAGACACATATCACACTATCCTGCAATGCATCAGTATGTACTCAGGGATGAAGGAGGGGTGCTGTGTATTCATCCATGCTATGCATTGATGATGGTGTACAATTACAACTGGATCCTTTGCTACATTGTCTGAATCGAAATAACTTACTTTAACATGCTCAGTTAGCTACTCTTTAAGCACAAGTCATAATCTCCCCAATATCAATGACAACAGACCACATTGATTGATTGATTCCAAACCTTCACCAAAAACAAAATCCAAACTTATTGCCATAGAACAAAACAATGAATGATATTATGCAATTCCATTTATGGACGAAGAACTGACAAGATTTCAATAAAGGTCAAGGTCATGACTTCTTTACAGGACGGAGGTGAAGGACAGCATTAGGGGTCAGGCCACATTCGTCCAAGGTTAAAGAGCTGTCATTGTAGATCCGATGTGGGTAGGCAGACATAATCTGGTAGTGAGGTAAACCATGTCTGAAATAAAATAGTAGGGTGACTTTGAAGAGATGGAATTACAATTAGGGCTCTGTCAAGTAGAAAAATTTAGACCCGAGTACCTGTTTCTCAAAATCTGACCAGGAATCGAGGATCTGATTTCAATGGTAATATGCCACACAGTCTTTTTTTCTTTCTCTTAACTGAATCAAATTACATTCAGACACTGTGTGGCTCCACTTCAATGTCTGTCATACTGGTGTTAGAGAATACATGTGAACCAATGATCATAGAATTCAGGTATGTCTGAGGGCATAATTTTGCACAGCCGATAGTGGTGCCTTAGGCAGCTGGGACACCCATGAATCCCCCCCACATTTCCTCACTCCCCCACCCCACACCCTCCCTCACCATCCTCTAGCCTTATGCAGTCCATCAGATGTCATCATGATCTGTTCGTTAACTTAATCGTAAAAGGATGCACAAGGTAATTATACCCTGTGAAATGAGAATGGTATATCTCACCGAGGTATCCTCATCACTGCTGGGGGCACGGGGGGCCCAGTCGTCTAAGGCGCAACGATTTGCCGTGCAGAGTTGCGTCCCTTGGGCACGCCAGAAACCTATGATTGTGGGTTCGAATCCTGGTTCGCCCCGATTATGTTTGTAGGTTTGTCAGCACCATACCCGTGCTTGTGGGTTTCAGCTAAGTGGTAAATGTCTGATACCTGCATCACTTCGGGCTTTACTCCCACATTAAGCTGACACGCCGTGATGTAACTGGAATACTGTTAAAAGCGGCGTTACGTCCAACTCACTCATCACTGCTTATAAGGTATTACATCCAGATGCCCTGGAAACCAACAGTAGTTTATTTCTCACTCACCTTTGTTTATTCAAGTAGAGGCGGAGATCTCCCACGGTGTTTTGGAACCTCATCTTGATTATATAAGTCTGGTCCCCAGACTTGATCCTCAGCGTGGTAATATCTCGGGGTGTAGCTGGGCGACTACCTTCGTCTGCCTCCAGCCTGGGAATAGACACAAATCTCTCAACGTATTTATATGCAGTGAAAAGTCTAGGTGTGTAAAATCTGATTTACCACCATTTTTAAAACAATCAGACTGCACACAGACATTTGTCTAAAATGTACTCATTCAGATCTCATCATTGCAAGCGTGATACACACTGCCCTATATTAATTTTCGAGTTGCACTTACCTTTTCTTCATCTCTGTCGTCACAGCAGTTTCCACGACAACAACTCCACTGCTGGTCCTGCTATCTTTGCCCTGAAGCAGAACATACATTGCTCAATATTAAATGACCATACAGACATCTCCAAACAGGTAGCATCAGCTATGCTTAGGGGCGGTCGGGTAGCCTAGTGGTTAAAGCGTTCGCTCATCACGCCAAAGACCCAGGTTCGATTCCCGACATGGGTACAATGTGTGAAGCCCATTTCTGGTGTCCCCCACCGTGAAATTGCTGGAATATTGCTAAATGCGGCGTAAAACCATACTCACTCACTCACTCATCTATGCTTCACAGGTTTGTATACACATTCCACATCACCTGTCACAATATTTTGGCTTCCATGCAGTAGGTTTCAAGTTATAGGTCTCACAAATGTTTATGTGAAACATATTCTAAGTAAAACAAATTAATAATAGCCATAGTATGTCAGAAAATCCAAATGTTGAAATCAAACTTCTCACTGCACCTCTTAGAGAGTGAGTGAGAGAGAGAGAGTACAGTTTTACGCCGCGGGGGACACCAGAAATGGGCTTCACACATCGTACCCATGTGAGGAATCGAAACCCAGGTCTTCGGTGTGACGAGCGAATGCTCTAGCCACTAGGCTACCCGACCGCCCCACACTATTGTATGGTTACACACACTATCACGATAACAACAAACCTGGTGAATGTGTTCTCCCAGTGAGCTCCGGATGTCTATAACCTTCCCTTGTTTCACCACAGATGATGGCAGTTTGTTGAGAAACTGTTCAACAGTCAGTTGAGGCCCTGTAATAAACACAAATAAAAATAAACGTTTTTTTAGCAGCTCATATAATTATGTTAACATTGCAACAGATAAGAAACCTATGTTTCACATAGCTGTACACTGATAACACAGTATGTTTATCTCCAAATCAACAAGAATTGATCATAAAAAGATGTGTTTTCTGACAAAGAGGTCAACTGTACCTCAAGCTTTCCTTGGAGAGATTCGATTGACATAGGTGTACCTCGAGATAAGCATTGTTTGGAGAGATTGAATTGCAACAGCGGTGTACCTCGAGATAAGCATTGTTTGAAGAGATTGAATGGCAACAGAAGTGTATCTAGAGATAAGCATTGTTTGGAGTGATTGAATTGCAACAGAAGTGTACCTCGAGATAAGCATTGTCTTGAGTGATTCGATTGCAACTGAGGTGTACCTCGAGATAAGCTTTGTTTGAAGAGATTTGATTGCAACTGGGATGTACCACTAGATAAGCATTGTCTTGAGTGATTCGATTGCAACAGAGGTGTACCTGGAGATAAGCATTGTTTGGAGAGTTTGACTTCCAACAGAGGCGTACCTGGAGATAAGCATTGTTTGGAGAGTTTGACTTTCAACAGAGGTGTACCTGGAGATAAGCATTGTTTGGAGAGTTTGACTTCCAACAGAGGTGTACCTGGAGATAAGCATTGTTTGGAGAGTTTGACTTTCAACAGAGGCGTACCTGGAGATAAGCATTGTTTGGAGAGTTTGACTTCAAACAGAGGCGTACATTGCGATAGGACTACATTAACATAATCCATGTACAACTCACCTGGTAGTTGACTAGTGACCTCGCCGGAAAACTCGGACGAGGCGTTAGAGGAGAGGTCGTGATGCTGTACAGCCTTGTCCAGGTTGCTTGGGACCAGACGGGATGGCTTTGTGTCGCCACCCAACATCTGCCCAGCACCAGTAAACAGATCCTCACGACGCTTGTCATGGAACGATACCTTCCGTAAATCTGTCACCTAAAACAGTTCATTGTACAGTCAAGTCCTGTGAATCCAACATGGTTGGCTGCATATGATAATGTCGGATTAACGAGTATGTCGGATGAACAAATTAAGGAGTATCTTCATTCAAATACACAATAGATCAAAATACAAACACGAAATAAAAAAAATAAAAAATAAAAGATTTATTTTTGTTATATTGTTGAGCTGAATATGTTTTCTGATGATGCAACCTCTAAAGAATAACACAAAACTATTGTTACGGCTGTATGACTAATTCAATATACTTTTGAAAGCATAGTCTGGAATGGAAGTCGCCAGTTTGAAACTAGTGCCTGTTAGGAACCAAGTCTTGACCAGACGAACAAGATCCTTACCATTGCGCTCTTACTTTATGTAAGGGATGCTGAGAACATATTTCCCCCAAGAATCCCAACACGGATCCTAGTTCATATCCAGGCACCGATCCACAAAGGATCTCAACCCTTGGGTTATTGTTAGCCGAATGGGAGTTACAATCATCTTAGCGCTAAGTCTATTTGTAGATTAGGGCCCTGATCTTTGTCAGTAAGGAGTTACCTTAAATGGCACGCCCTCTGGATAACGGTTTTGAAGTTCTGAGGGAAAGTAGCCATCAGTGAGATCTTTGACACACAGCTGTGTTTCAGGATCAGAGAAGGGTCGGAAAGGCCCCTTAAACAACATGATGCCATTTGCATAGAGGGTTAGGGGAATTGGATCCTGAATCTGAAAACATACAGCAAATAGGAAATACTAACATAATAACATACACAACCACATAACAATGGACAAAATATCCAATAATACAATCATAAATTCAAACATTCTATTTCAGAGACAGTCGGGTGTTCATTTAGAACCAAGGCATACTCATCACAGAAAATTAAGCAACTAAAATGATTTGGTATTGTTTAGCGGATAACTTATTCATCAACAAAAGATGCAACTTTCTTATGATGCAAAACCACAATTGAACTGTATGCACCCAATTACCCGAGAGCAGCAGACAGATTCACTATACAATACAAAGGTCAGGTGCCAAAACACAGAGCATTAGTAGTGCCATTGGTGAGACATTATCTCTTACAATAAGGCTAATCTTTAACTGTTACATTGATAAACATCAAAACATTCTTGGTAATGTTCAGACAAAGATTTTGGTATTTTGAATGGTTTCATTCAAACATACAAGGTAAGACCATTAGGCGGGAGCACAGCACCCCTTTAACAGATGACAATGGTCCAGCTTACCCTCAGTCGAGCTCCATCTGTGGTGTGTTGGATCTTAGCCACCCCCTCACCAGCCAGCACATTCAAGTCCTGGATGTTTTCTATCAAACGGTCATAGTCCAGGTGGAATGCAGGAGTTCTTGACACTGATGACCCTGAAATAGGATGAGGACTCAAGGACTGGTTGATGGAGGTCATATCATGTCAGAAGCAGGGCTTTGGGTTTCAGGCTGTATCAATCAAGAGTTGGTTGGTTGGTTGGTTGGTTGGTTGTTTTTTTAACGCCGCACTCAGCAATATTCCAGCTATATGACGGCGGTCTGTAAATAATCGAGTCTGGACCAGACAATCCAGTGATTGATATCATGAGCATCGATCCACGCAATTGGGATCAATGACATGCATCAACCAAGTCAGCGAGCCTGACCACCCAATCCCGTTAGTCGCCTTTTACGACAAGCATAGTCGCCTTTTATGGCAAGCATGGGTTGCTGAAGACCTATTCTACCCCGGATCTTCACGGGTGGGATCAATCAAGAGTGCAATCGAGATGGAAGCAGTGTTCTGCTAATGAAGGGGGTACTGGGGTCCTTCAGGTTTGCGCCCATGGTACTTGAATTGAATTGTTGTGACAAGAAACCCATGGCTTTCATGGGTAAATTCAAACAATGTGGAATAAATCACAGATGTTTCAAATAAGGAGAAAAACATATTGAGTTTTCAGACTTGCAAGTCTTATTGATAATTTCATGCTCATAGGTTTGAATTCAAACCAACAATCGTAGCTCTGGGTTTCAAATGTTAACATTTCAGCCTCAAATGATAACATTATAGCATCAAATGATAATAACATTTCTGCACACTGACTACTCAAAACAGCCAATCTAAACCACTGGTTTTCCAACACTGCAAATGCAAAACTGTTACAGATAATTTTCCACAGTACTCTCTGTCTACATGTATTCAAACAGTTGTGGGACAGACATATAACATTATTTACAATGCATATATATTTTTTCTGACATGGGCACTTTATATGAAAATTTCAAATATTCCAGAGGTACGCCTATACAACACAATGTTAAAAATGTAGGCTTTTTTTATAATTTAGGGGCTAAAAGCACAAGGCCCCCACCCTAGAATTATCCCTATTTATATAGGGATTCAACCTTTGCTGGTCGTAAGAGGTGACTAATTGGATCCAGGCTTGGTGACTTGGAGGATTGCATGTCATCGTATCCCAAATGTGTGGATCGATGCTCATGATATCAACCACTGCATTGTTTAATCTGCCATCATAGAGCTGGAATATTGCTGAGTGTGTCGATAAACAAAGAAACATCTCAGCTTTAACATCTTCATCAATTGATGCAAATCCACAAATTAACCATTTTAGAGAAATTAATGAGTATGGGTAACATGTTGACAGAAACAGGGCCATCATCAGGATGATGAGCAGCGATCAGATGATCCTGGCACAGTGAGTTGGGTTTAACGCCGCTTTTAACAGTATTCCAGTTATATCACGGTGTGTCAGCTTAATGTGGGAGGAAAGCCCAAAGTGATGCAGGTCTCAGACGTTTACCACCTCGGTGAAACCCACAAGCATGGGTATGGTGCTGACAAATCTAGAAACATAATCGTGGCGAACCAGGATTCAAACCCACAATCATAGGTTTCTGGTGTGCCCAAGGAACGCAACTCTGCACAGCGAATTGTGGCGCCTTAGACGACTGGGCCACCTGTGCCCCCTCCTGGCACAGCTAAGGTGTTACAACAATATGCAGTGAGTTTCGATGCCAAAGACCATTAGAGCCTCATGTGAATTGTCTGCTTCCTGCCTACCTGGCCGCCAGGCATCGTCCTCACTGCCCCCACTGGAGTAAACGTCCTCGTTATACACGTCAGACTCGGGGTCAATCTTTTCCCCCACCCATACCATGCCATAGTCAGACAGGAAGGCCTGAAAAAAACATTACAGACATAATAAAACATTAATTCCACAGACATATCATCAAGAGACACTCCCCAAATCTTCCCAGGAACGTGACAACAGAGACCGCTGTACTTGTTTTACCTCTGTCAAACTCTTATGTAATAGAACCAAGGGCTCTGTAGCTCACCTTGCTCAAACTGTATTTGTATGTTGAGCCAATTATTATTCAAAATCAATATCAAATATCAAAATGCACACACCAGTTATTCTTCAATATTTTTCATCAATGAACTAATTTTTGCTACATGATATCATCATTCAGTATTAGAGAAAGAAACAATTGTAAAATATTTTTAACAATATTTCTGTTTACATTTTTTATCGGTAATGCCTTTTGAAGCAATTACCATATATTGCTGTGTATAAGGCGAGTTTTTAATACCTAGAATTTGGGGGCCTAGCAGAACAGGAAATACAAATTAATCTCATTAAATTAGATTATTCTGTTGATGTTTTATCTCAAATTTCAAATTTGTATTGACCAAGTTTAATTCTTACGATCTATTTGTTTCCCTGAAATCACTGAAGGAATAGATGTAACTTTTTTCTGCGGAAGACAAACACACTTTTATTTCAAATATAACGATTGTGTATGTGATGGTGATGTACTTCATTCTGATTCGCTTTATAGATGGGGTTCATTAATTAGCATAAGTTTTGAAGGCTTGTGCAGGGGGGTCGCCCCAGAAGTGGGGTCGCTTTATAGACGGAGATATATGGTAAGAGATCTTTTGAAGACTGGACTCACAGATTCAAAGGCTTTCTGAAGCCTGTGAAACCTTGCAGAATCCTTGACACAAACTGACACTCCCACTTCTCGCCTGACGAGCAAAGAAAATAACTGCCAACAAACTTGCCCCAAAATAGTACAACTGAAAACCCAAATACATGTAGCTGAAACCACAAAAATATATTTAAGCTAATGCCACAGAATTCTGGGAATATTTTATCCTAAGCAGCAACAGAAACTAACATTTTTAGTATACTAGTCCTTATAATGATAACAAATAGCAAAACCCCTAAAAATGACAAATTTCCAAGTGATACCTTCACTATTGGGCAGTTTTTCAATGACTATAGGACTAGTGCCAATTTCTAATGCTGCTAAACAATTTTTATAACCACAATTCTTTAATGCTGTATAAGCAATATCAATGCCATGGACTTGGCACAGCTCAAGAGAAAGACTTTTTAGGCCATTCCAAAGATACTCTGCATGAGGCATTGTAATTCATTAAGCATTCATCCAGGTGACACTCAGAAAGATACCAGAATACCCCAGGCCTTCCCTTAATGCCTCCAATCATGGTATACGTTAGCTGATAGTAACACCTCTTAATAGCTGATTGCTGGACAGCATGAATATTTCATGTCAAGTTGTAAGGGCAATTAATTCTAACCCGTGTTGTCATACAACGGTCTAATCAACAGTCTTTTCGTTCAAGGCTTGAGAGAACAAAAACATTGTTAATTAATGAAGCTTCTATGAAAGACTGAAACTTATCTGGTATGAATGCTATTCTGAACCTTTAGCACGCACATCAACAGACTGACTCTAATATCTTCGACCTACGTAAAGCCCTTTAAAAGTGAACTAAATGACACAGTTCTAATGTGTTGTTATTGCAGAGGTACTAAAACTATTTAATGTAGATTGAATTAATTCCTTGTTTAACAGAACTGAAGAAAATGAAGAAAAGAAGAGAGAGACAAAAAGAAGAAAAGGGGTTGAATTAAGGTTCATGTTTACACATACATACACAAAGATGTTAAAAAACATATTTTCAATCAAAAATGGACTTCAAAAACATTTTTTTTTTCACTTGTGCAAAGTAAAGGGAAAACTTATCCCCTGTACTCAGTTTTCCATTCTTGTAGGTGAGGTGAGGTGAAATGGGGTTTAACGTCGCATCCAAGATTATTGCACTTATATAGCGACTTATATGTATGTGTGTGTGTGTGTGTGGCTGCTTGTACTAGTCTGGAATGATGCCGATTTATAGTGCTAGCTCACTGAGATACCATGCCACAGTTTAACATGAATACCCCACTCAGACACAGTATACTAAACTCCGAGCCGACAAGTCCTTGTTTTAGCCCCTTAATGCCGAGCGCCAGACAGGGTAACAACAAGTACCATCTTTTAATGTCTTTTGGTATGACGCGGCTGGGGATCGAAACCAGGACCTTCCGCTCTCTGGGCGGATGCTCTACCACTAGACCACGGAGGCGGTCTCCATTCTTGTAGGGATTACAGCATGACAGAGTAAGGGCTGGATCAATCCAATCTAAATCAAATCTCTTGCCCCATTATACCTGTCTGTGTGAAAATCTAAGGACACCTCCAGGGGTCGAGGCTCTAAATTCTTGGTACCAGTAAGCGAAGAATTTAGACAAACATATCTGATTTCTGACTTCAAAATGAATTTAGTTGGGGAGTTCCAAATGCAAAATAATAAAGACATGCTTGTGTATTGTGGATATTTTATACACCCTGTCGTCTCTGAGTGCCATGGCATGTTATTCCAAATGGGTATACAAAATCCAGGGTATTTAAGTGTTTGGTTGTGGTTTTCTTTGCTAAAATATAAATATCCGAATCAAGGTGGGACAGAAATTACACAGAATCGTTTTGGATAGCTGACATCTGATTTCCTCAGGAAGCCATGCATCTTTCACTTAGATTGGGCACACCTATAGAGGTGTCTCCAGATTTTACAAACTTGTCGTCGTAATACCCTATATTGCATAAGGTACCATCTAGCTATTTATGCCTTCCAATAAATATGTCAGTGAATGGGTCAAGATGTTAATCATAATAGATTGGAGACAAGATATAATACAGTGTAAAATTTGAGGATGGCCTTTTTTTCAATTAATGAATGTATGCATATATGGATATTATTATATAAGCATGTGTGTCATACTGATTTTATGATTTCCTGAGAGAGAGCGAGGGAAATACTTGAATTCATACACAAGTTTCATAAAATCAGTGTGACACACATGCGAGTGTAATAATTTCTTTAATAACCATTATTTCTTAATCCTTTGAGCTCCCCCATAGAAAAAGGCCATCCGGATGACGGAAACAATACACAAGTGTACGGATGAGGTGATATTTGCACTATTTGTAGTTCGCATACGATTTTTCTGATCCTATGGGTAATAAATCTCTATATGTACCTCTTATGTCACTGATTGCAGCCTGAGCATAATAAAGTTCAGTTCAGACACAGGTGAACCACAAATTTGTTCTAGTCTTATCAATCGATCATTTGAAAGTTACACACGGATCTGAGCCATTTAACTGAACATTGATATTATCATTAGGATCATGTATGCCCAGCGTCTGCAGCATCGGCCTCGTACTTTCAGTAAATATGATGTTTACAGAAAACATTCAACTTCATAATATCACAACAAATTTGTCAGTGTAGCCACATCTTCCCTAGGCAAGGGAGTTAACTGACCATGAAAGTCCAGTTTCTACCCTTGCCGAACTAGGCTGGCATATCTTGGCTCGATCGTCGCGCCACCAGTGGCTATTACAAGTTTTTTCCCTTCTATGTCCATCCAACTGACCAATCAGATTATACCCAACAAAAAGCCAGCGCCCAGTCAAGACAATTTGATGGATAATCAAAATCTATATAGCAATAAAATAGGTCTTACTTTGAGGAATGTATCAAATCATGTGACTACCTAGATTTAAAACATGAAATATCTGCTGAAGCTGGGTTTGGTGGACATGCTTTGCAAATCCTGCATGGCAGTTTAAGAACCAGATGTCAATTTCGTTACACGATTTGAATGGAATATGCAAAGACTCGTTAGTCCAGCTAAAATATAACTCCTTGTTCCAGCCTAGTTTGGCAAGGGTGGAAACTGGACTTCTATAGACACTTACTCCCTTGCCTCGGGAAGATGGTGTAGCCAAAATTGATCAGACTACCCAAGTGTTTTATGTCAACAATGGTCAGTTCCACATGTAATGAGTTCCATCCGGAACAAATATAGCCAATGTAAATGTATTGTGGAGAGATTTTCCTCACAACAACAGTTCCATGGGAATATTTCCCCTAGAGAGAAATAATACAAAGGAAGAATTTCCCAACAGGAACAGATGTTCTTTGACATGTACACAGGTTCCACTGTATGTGATATGGTTCATAAAGAATATGAATGTCAAAAAGTCATTCTTCAAATACCTCCATCTCATGAATCTGCTGTTGTAGTAGAAGACATTTCTTCTCCAGCTCCTGAACCCGCTCACCAGAGTTACCTCCCCCTGAAATCAGATAACCGACATCACTTGACACAGTGAAATACATATGTACCTGATAAAACACTGTGCAGAGTTACCTTGGTTTCAGTGTATGTTCCACCATATACTTTCTGGTATTACTACAAATACTTTTCTTTTCAGAATTCACAGATTCAGGCCTTCCTATCTGTCAGCGTGAAATGAAGAAAAACTTGTCTCATTAACATTCATATAGTGAGAGGAATTTGGCTAAGCGAAGTGAAAACGAAAAAGATAGATCACAAAGCTGTATTCCTTGCCAACAAAGCCATTTGTAATGGATACGTGTACGGCTTCTGTTGGAAGCGAAAGCACTGGCATCTTAAGCACCTCATTGGTTTCTGTGAAAAAATGCTTTTAATTAAGATTCCGCTGCGGATGTCTTTACATATTAAAATATTTCATTGTGTACCCATTTTTACGACTTCCTAATCAAATAATGCAGCCTTATAACAAATGCATCTGGAATAAGATTCAATTTTCTTCATTTCACTTTGATAGGAAGGCCTTTGTAAGTGCTCAGTCAAAAAGACAATTCTGTACTTCAAACACATTCAAAGAGATATTGTTGCGTATACTGGGATAAAAAATATGTGTCTTATTGGATGGACCTGTGAAGATCTGGAGTAGAATAGGTCTTCAGCAACCCAAGCTTGCCGTAAAAGGTGAATATGCTTGTCGTAAAAGGCGACTAACGGGATCGGGTGGTCAGGCTTGCTGACTTGGTTGATATATGTCATCGATCCCAATTGCGTGGATCGATGCTCATGATGTTAATTAATCCCTGGACTGTCTGGTCCAGCCTTGATTATTTACAAACCGCCGTCATATAGCTGGAATATTGCTGAGTGTGGTGTTAAACAACAAACAACAACAAACTGTGATAATGATTATGCTTCTGGTCATCTATGGAGTTTTTGTAATGTGATGATTCATTTGTACTGTAAATTGGGGACAGTATTACGGCATGAAATTAGTGGATAACAATAACCTTAAATGTGTCTGGAACGTATTGCGACAGCCTTTTAAGATTACCAAAGATCAATGCTACTTTTGCACGTGAAGTAGGACGCGACATGATGAAATTGTAACTCAGTGTCATTCAGTGATTTTTAAACTATAGATACATGTGTTGTAGTTGACAAGGGAGGTTGGAGTAACGTGTTTATCTAACAGAATAGAACCAGTGACGTATGTCTGGATTACTTGGTTCATGTCAACAACTTGAGTGAGTGAGTTGGGTTTAACGCCGCTTTTAACAGTATTCCAGTTACATCACGGCCTGTCAGTTTAATGTGGGAGGAAAGCCAGAAGTGATGCAGGTCTCAGACGTTTACCACTTCGGTGAAACCCACGAGCACGGGTATGGTGCTGACAAACCTAGAAACATAATTGGGGCGAACCGGGATTCGAACCCACAATCATAGGTTTCTGGCGTGCCCAAGGGATGCAACTCTGCACAGCGAGTCAACAACTTGACAAAGATGTGGAAGGTTAGTGAACTTAGACCAACTAGAATATTGACACTGGGTGACCATGTGGAATAAGAGAAACAAGATGTGTGGGGTTATTTATTTAATCATGCACCAGCTGGCTTGACAACGTGTGGCAGTGAATTCAAGAAATATTCCTCATTACGTCCTTTGTTTTTTGTTTGTCTGCAATAATAACTGCGTCATGAACTATTGTGAGTGTGTGTCGCTCGCAGTTTTCTCAGTACTTTTCTGCTTGCAAAACTTTCCAGATTTACAGTATATGTGCTCTACCTGAACCTGAATAAAAAATGGAAAACATAGCCACACTAACACTGCATCCTCTTACAATTTGATGACAACTTTTGAACATGTAAAATAGTTGTAGAATGAACAAAAACTTGTGAGGATCACATCCAAGGCCATATTTCCATAGTCTGTGAAAACTCATATTTACTAATGCAACTTAAGCAAAGGAAAAATAATGTTCATACAGTAGTGTATTCTTGAAACAAATTTCCTTTGAGAAATATCCATTGGGAATCACAACTTATCATGTGAATATAGAGGCATGCATCGAAAAGCATGAACTATTTTTTCATAAACTGTTTTCCTTATGAAACTAAATATTCCAGCAAGAAATTGAAATTTTGCACAGATAGCTGATTCAACTCTGTACCCCAAGTCAACTTATGAGAACATTAAATGCTAATGTTCTTGGTTTAAGATACCAACATTGTAAAGGACCAAGGGAGGTAACTCTGATTTTCACAATGGTATCCACTTCAGCACTACGACTTGTCATTGTACTTGATTTATGAACACAGACCCTCTTTCTTGTATTCATAGCCACTAATACTGGAAAATTGCTTCATATTTGCAGAACTTCTGCAGCAACCAGCATCATCAGAATCACCACCACTATCACAAATAGTCATGTATACATACCTTGGGCTTTTTGGAGGATCTTCAGTTTGTCCTCTAACAATCTAACTCTTCTGTCCTGAAATGACAATAAGTTAATAGATAAATTGAACACCCTTATAGTAACAAACCTCCAAACAAAACTTTAGCAGAATCCAACGCAGCACAAGTAAAATATGTGAAATGTTGATGACAACAGACCAGGCCAGGTGAGCTACAAATTTGTAACTGAGTTTCCTACCTTTTCTGCATTTTCTTTAGTCTGATACTGCAACTTTGCTTCCAGGTGTGTCACTCGAGACATCATCAGACTAAGCAACTCACGGTCCGAGGGAGCTGCATGACGTAGAAAGAATATTAAAAAACATATTAAACTAAAACATTAACTTTCCATCAATTACTTTGCTATCTGTGGAAAAGAAGTTAAAATAATGAACCAATATTTGTTCATATTAAATTCATTATTATTGACAATACCTAATGGTTGGGAAGAAACATTCAAAGCTGATTCAAGATGACGTTGCACTGTGAACATGCGATGCAGGTCTCAGACTTTACCACGTTGGTGAAACCCATGAGCATGGGTATGATGCTGACAAACTTAGAAACATAATCAGGGCAAACCTGGCATTCGAACCTGTGATCAAGGGATTCTAGGAAGGCTAAGGGAAACAACTCTGCACAAGGGCTGCAACTCTGCACAAGGGACGTAACTCTGCACAAGGGCTGCAACACTGCACAAGGGATGCAACTACAAGATCCTCACAACGATAGCCCATTCACCGAGCTCTCTGTACTATCGCTGCCACCAGCCAAAACTCCCCACTGTGGCAGGTGACCACAACCATGCTTGGAGTTGACTGACAAATGTTTACAAAAAGTGATGACTGCCGTGATGCCGAATACTCAGTTTAATTATTTTCTTTGTTTGTCAGTTTGAATTTCTATTTCATTCCACCTATCATGTAATTGGTATAGTCAGAATGTAACGGGGAAGTTGAGTGTTTTACCGTTAGTCTGCAATCTTGAGAAGGAGCTTGATGCAACTATGCACAAGGGATATAACTCCTACCAAGGGATGCAACTCCGCACAGCAAATTGTGGTGCCTTTGATGACAGGACTACCTTTGCCTCCTGAACCTTATTGTTCCAACAGAATCATTGTTGGCACCATGTTCTAATAAATATCTTTCTGCTTGTTTCAAAATGCAGATCAGTTGCAAAATACTCACATGCACTGGGATGCCCCTGATCTCGACCTGGAGAGGTCCCTGAGGACACCTGTGATGGGTGGCGGCTTTCTATTTTAGGCAAGCCTCCAACGAAGGGGTCACGCCCTTTCATTCTACTGGAGGCCATTCCTGTCGTAACTTCATCCAACAGCTTACTCTCATCCTCTGTTGACAAAGAACATGCCTACTCATTGCCCGAACATAGCATTCAGTTATTCATGATAAGTCAAGACCTGTGAGGCACAAACAGCCTTGAATACTGTGGATCTGTTGAACATGTTGACCTGTCTCTTAGTCACTGGACATAATGGAGTGTTTCAGTTTCATAACACTGTCACATTACTTAGGTCATTTGGTCCCAGATGAATTCTGTTATCAAATTATCAAAAATCTGAGGCTAAAATTACAAAATTCTGTTGTCAATTCTGCTGTGAAAACAACCAATCCCTTTCACAAATTAATACAAACTCATTTTTCGAAATCTTGAAACAAACCCAAAACAAAATAATTCCACAAACTGTCATTACAAAAGTAATACAAACAGTTATCATGGTTATCACTGGAAAAGACATAAAATTATGCAAATAATTATGCATGGTGTCACTGATATTTATTTATGGTTCGTTGTAAACAGGTATTATGTAGTCATAATACCACATGAATGTTTAAAAGTGAGAATTATTAATTTCAAAATAAGTTTTATTGTAGGACTCATATTTTCTTTGTTTGAATCATTTGTTAAATGTTTGTGCATCTTTTGAGTGCAAAGTTTTATAGAAAAGCTTCAAAATATTGAAAATTAGTCCATTGATTGATAAAAGAGGCAAATTCAGCGATTGTTCTGCTATTCTGCAGTAAGTTACATTTTTGGCAAATCTTTCTGGAATCACACAATTTGTCCATGACTGACATTATAAATAACCCATTTGTGACTTCTTCCCAAGAACAGCTTAATGGATGAGGCTGGAACTTCTGTTTGGTGCTCCACATAATAACCATGCTAAAGTTTGAGCAAGGCAAAATGTAATATTTTGTTATTTTCTAATATGATTTACATGGCCTAAGGGAGCTTAAACATGCTATTGGCAAGTGCTTGTATGCATTGCAGCAGTAGATTTCAATATTGAATATTAAAGTCTTTCCTGGAATTTGTCTTATTAACAATCTAATCAATTGTATCTTTCTTCCTCTTTAAAAACGTAAATAATTAAATAAAATATATTTAGTAAGAATGAGGTGAGGTTGAGAACATACATCAGCAAACAAACAGATATCAGTAAACAGATATAAACAAATACCTGAATAATCTGGATTTCTGAAGGGCACTGGCCTCTGCCTGTCAACATAGATGTATCATCAAAAACAAAAAACAAACAACTTGGATTATTGCACAGTCATTATATCATGTTTCTTTGTTTGTTTGTTGTTTAATCCCGCACTCAGCAATATTCCAGCAATATGGCGGCGATCTGTAAATAATGAGTCTGGACCAGACAATCCAGTGATTGACATCATGAGCATCGATCCACGCAATATATATTACAATATGTATAAACATCCAAAAGTGAATCCATAAACATGATTATGAATATTATGAAGTCAGTCATACTCTCAGTTGACAAAAAAAACATAAGATGGTACAAGTGTACGATGAAACAGGAGAATGATTTGTCCCGATGTCAAAAATTATCATTGCCTCAGGCCTGAGGGCAGACAGACAAGCTCCTATCATGTCTATCACAGACACTGAAATGCGGACCCGAGGCAAGAGAGTTAACTGACTTTAAAAGTCCAGTTTCCACACTTGCCGAACTAGGCTGGTATAATGGAGTTACATTTTGACTGGACTAACGAGTCTTTGCATAGTCCAATCAAAATCGTGCACCGAAATCGAAATCCGGCTCGTAAACTGTCGTGCAGATTTCGGTCGATTGCAGGATTTGCAAAACATGTGCACCGCCAACTCGTGTCAGCAGATATTTTCCAAATCTTTTCATGTTTTTAATCAAGGTGCTCACGTGATTTGATGCATTTCGCGATGTAAAATCCGTTTTATCACAATATAGATCTTGATCATTGATCAGATCATCCTGACTGGGTGCCACCATTTTGTGTGCAGCAAACGCAAGTGACACGAGAGGTGGAATCTGATTGGTCCATAGACATAGGAGAGGCTTAGAAGGGACATAACTGGTAATAGCCACTGGTGGCGCTACGATCGAGCCCAGTAATTCCAGCCTAGTTCGGCAAGGGTGGAAACTGGACTGTTATAGTCAGCTAACTCTTTTGCCTCAGGAAGATGACTACAGATAAGTCTGTAGTGTCAAACAATGGCAAAAACTCATTTTGTAAAGATATAGCATGCTCAGTGTTCAAACCAGAATATGTCATTTGAGACGAATCATGATGTAAACATGGCAGATTCACACACTAGTAAGAGTCTTTGGCATCCAGTACAGAGAGATTCATTTACTTCATTGTCAAATTTCTTTGAGAGCCTTTTCCATGTTTCCAAATTCCAAAAGCTCTGTGACCACACTCATATTCATTGGACCAAATTTTATTTATTTAGTGTGTTTTTCAATCTCCAGTTTCAGAAGAATTATAATAGTTTTTACATAACTACTTGTTAACTTTTGTTATAATCTGTTGTCATGTACATTGACTGACGGTCAATCTCAACATTACACTCATCTCACATCAACAGTAAGTTGAGCCTGTTGTTTACATGTCAATTTGAGATATCCAAAATCAATGACAGGGCATTAAAGTCCCATGATCGGATTCAAACCACGGACCTTCTGATCCGGGGTCGGACACCTTGTCAATGTGACCAAAGAGATTAACCCAGTCAGCAAGCAGACAAGGAAAGGATGTTAGCTGTTGGATGACTCCTCGCCCGGCTACATACTACTTCAACAGAAGGCACCCAGGCCTAATAGTAGGGTATCAAGATTTAATTTGCTCAAATATCATACGAACATGTTCAGCCCTTCATTGGGCATTAATGTAGCATCCATAATACTTCAGTCCAATGATGGGATTCAACCCACAGACCTTTTGATCGGAGGTTGGATGCCTTGTCCACATGACCAACCCTTAGCCTCAGATCTAACCCTTCAGGCGGGCTGTTAATAGGAGGAGAGGTACCTCTGAACTGAACATGCTGCCTGGAGTGAATATTTTAATGCCATCAGTATGATTTCTGTTGGCAAGAATGCATTCTGACATTATGGAAAGGGATATGCACGACCTCATTCCTTAGTAACGGCTTCTAAGTTTTTCAAACACCATTTTTGTCGCCTTGCTAAAATAACGGGGGGGGGGGGGCTTGCCCTCCTTACAACAGCTTGAATAAAATGCTTTCATAAGTAAATGTAATGTATAATTACCAAAGCAGATTCAAAATGTTACATGTTCGCTGAAAAGTGGCTCTGACCAATGTCACTGCTGAGGTTGTCGCAAGCCATTATGGAACTTCTATTTTCTAGTACTTTTTCGATGTTGATGTCAAAATTTTTAAGCTTATTTATCGCATTGATATTCAATTCCAACCATACAAGTGCAAGCCAGATATTTTTTCTGCTTATTTTGAGCCTTATTTTACAAATAGTGATGCTTTACGTGTAGAATCAAACAAACATAGCGGATAGATATCCAGTATGATCATGATAATGTGTATACCTTTCTGTTATTAATCTTAGAGTTTAATTAATAACTATACTAGTATACAACACCGATAAATTAAAAAACGTTGAAACATTAGATGAAAAAGCAAAATAATTAAGAACAATGTTTGGACAAAAATTGTAATAAAATCAAGTTGAATTCGTTCTGATTGTGATCATAGGCCTTACAATTTCTCAATGAATGCCCACTTGTAACTTGGTCACAGTGACCCAGGTTATACTTGTAGCTACCATACTTGTAATATTGGGCACTCAACACTCACCCACTGCCAGGCATGAAAGGCGCTTTATGAGATTTCCTCAGGCTTGACAAAGGCGAACTCATTTTGTGCTGACCTCTGCTATCTTGCAACTCTTGAACACAACTTGGTGACAGATCAGCTGTCAATGAGTGATGGTGTAGCAACCCTCTGTTAGAGACGAACTCTTCCCCATTACACGATCATGTAACCGTAAATACTCATAAATCTAAAAAAAAATAACTCGTGATTGATAAACTGTCGCCCTCTTTCCTTTAAAAGGCCTAATTATGCTACGTTATGCTCAAACGCTGATAATTATCCTCCGTCGCTATGCTTGTTTACATCCAAGGACGCCATGCTGAAGTATTCGTGCGTGTTGCGCATGCGTGGAAATCGGTGTCGAACACTTTTGTTACCCCAGTCAATAATGGAACCGGTGATTACCAGAGGTGTACGCGCTATATTTGATCGTTTGATCTGTTCACGTCGAACAATAAATTAGCTTTTCCGTAAAAAAATATTTATGTTAAATAGATTCAAGGTCAATTCAAGGTATGGATGATAATGGGTGATTTATTTTCTTAAATTTCAGCTTATAAAACAGCACGTAAATATACTCTTAATAATACAAGTGAGATTGTTTGTTTGTTTGTACGTTCGTTGTTTAACGCCGCACTCAGCAAAATTCCAGCTATATGACGTCGGTCTGTAAACAATCGAGTCTGGACCAGAAAATCCAGTGATTGACATCATGAGCATAGATCTACGCAATTGGGATACGATAACATGCACAATCATAGTCAGACCCGATTTTGGTCTCCTCCGCCCAGAAAGCGCTGGGAATTTTCTGAAAGTGATGTAAAACCTCACTTAGTCACTCAGTCGAAGAAGGCACATTTCTTTGTAAACCTTACGTTGGGCTCAGATCAAGCATTCATGCGTTCTCTACTAACCCTTCAGTGTTCCAGGACAGAGACGTTGTTATAGAATGGGAACCTTATTTCAAGAACAGATGTTATCATCGCCGATCATTTCTTCTTCTGGAACTGGAAGTTCAACTGTTTTGTATGCGTGGGAATTTTTGGGCGAATTACGACCACTGATTCCACTTTAAAGACCACTGTTGAATATGAAATGTAATCTGTCAGTTTAGCAATTTATCCTCCTTACATTCTTAATGCACAATGCCTTGATGATTACATGTTGTAGATTGTGGCGTTATGCGTTATAGTGAATACAAGGATAGACGAAGAAGAAATTAAAATTTAGAAGTGATACACATAAAGAGAATATATGGATGTCAACTTCTTTAACATGAGGAACACAACGTTTCGGAATACATGTATATGCTTACTCTTTCATCAGGTGAATGAATGCCAATAGACAATGGAAGTCAACCCTTGACAGTAATTAGCGCTAATAGTATGGCAGTCAGTACTTAAGTTATCATAGATAAGTAATAGGTAATTAGCGTAAAGTGTTGGCTTCCATTGTCTATTGCTTGTCCCCTATCAGCACCAATCATCTATTGGCTTCCCGTGTTAGTTTCTACCCTTTGTTATTTTCCACCTTTGTTATCTTATTAATTTTGTTGTCCTTACATATACACATATATATGCTCTCTGCCTCATGGCATTCATTCATCTGATGAAGGAGTAAGCATTTACTCCGAAACGTTGTGTTCCTCATAAGAAAGAAGTTGACATCCATATATTCTCTTCCTTAAGCATTTTATATTCTTTTTTTTCTCATGATTTTTTTCCAAACCGAGTGGGTAGGTAGGACTTTATAATTGTCTGTTGTCATTTTACAAATCAACAAAAGTAAACAATTCTAATGTACCACATGACGTCTTTTGGCCACGCCCCATCCGGCTCGAAGACTGGGAGAGGGCGTGCCTGAGACGATGGTGATAACGACTATACCGTCCCATGTGTATAACACACGCGTGCGCAAAATGGAATTCAGTGAAAACGAAATTTAAGTTGAAAAGTTCCTAAACGATGTTTAATATGTGAAAACAATCAAAGGGGAGGGCAATTGTATAGGCACAGGAGCTCATGAGAAACATGTCATTTATTCTAACAAGCCTTAAAACAGAAACGTCTCCTTTCTGCGATTAGCTTCCCACACAATTCAGTCATTGCTACTGAAGCTGTTTTGCAGTAATTTTTACACTGAAGACACTGCTAATTACTGTCTACAAATTGAAAAAGTTGAAAGAATGATGTTGGATGATAAAAAAAATCTCACCCTCGTGTCTTTTGATATCAAATATATCAACACTCGTTGATAAAAGTGGCAAAAATCCTCGGCAAGCCTCGGAATTTTTCCACTTTTATCAACTCGTGTTGAATTATTTGATATCAAAAGACACGTGGGTGAGATTCTCTATATATTATTTACAAATGAAAATATCATAACCATTAACATCACATTATAATATATTATTGCTTTCCCGCGCCCCATAATTGCTATGACCATGAACCAACTTTTATTTCTTCGTTTAGACACATCTTCATTTCCATATGAGTGAGTGAGTTGGTTTTAACGCCGCTTTTAACAGTATTCCAGTTATACCACGGCGTGTGAGCTTAATGTGGGAGGAAAGCCCGAAGTGATGCAGGTCTCAGGCGTTTACCACTTCGGTGAAACCCACAAGCACGGGTATGTGGCTGACAAACCTAGAAACATAATAGGGGCGAACCGGGATTGGAACCCATAATCACAGGTTTCTGCGCAGCGAATCGCGGCTCCTTAGGCTCCATTTCCGTATGATCCCACTTTGTATTGAAAGTGGTTGTCAACGTTTTATGGACTAGTATTTTTTTTTCCCTTTCGAAATAACAATGAATCACGAAACATTTATTTATTCACACCGCATGATATAATTTTATTTTTTTTATTTTAACTCCATGGCCTCTGGGATATTTATATCAGTTTTTGATGTTATATTTTTTGTTTCATTTTATGCAAAAACTGTTTTGTATGATACTTTTTAACGATTAAATTGTTGTTTTCGTTATTATTTTTACGTTCAGTTTGGCAGTGAGTATTAAATACAACCCCTGCAATGCATATAAGACACGAATGCGGAAGTGTTCCCAACTTGGTCATCGTATCCCCCTTGAAATGCTGCATCAACTTCTCTCATACATTCGCCTGGGCATGAAGGGTGCATGCATGATCATCTTCACCCCCACTAAGCCCGCCCGCCACCTCACCCCACACCCCCACTCCTCACTCTATATCATGTGGGCAGCCCACTCAGTTACCCCAATCATCACAAACCCCACGAAGGGTACCAGTGCCGGAAGTTGGCTGAACAGTGAGCGCCATGTTGATTTCTTTGTTTCGTGGGATGAAGGTGATGCTGGAGCCGGGTTGGCCATGGCTGCTTCTTCTCTCTCGGTAACTGAAGCAAATGTGGGCATGAAATATAACATGGTTGTGGTATTCCTTGTAAAGAGATAAGTCAATAGAGCAATCCAGTTTGTCATTGTACATCACTATTACATTAAATAAAAGTCGTACATATTCCCTGATCCATGGAAAATACAAAGCATACTCCAGGATATAATTGTCCCCATTTCCAGCCTCGATCTGGACGTTGTGCACGTGAGTAGTACCAAGTGTATAACTGAGACACTGTCTCAGTAATCATACTAATCTTTGACTGCTTGCTTGATGGAAATCATTAAATATCAGTTAGACCCGTGGAGATCAGGGTTAGAATAGATCTTTAGCAACCCATGCTTGCCGTGAGATTGTAAAATTCAGCATTTTAGTCGTTCTCAACACATTCTCAAATACTAGGGCGTTGAAGTATTGGTGTACATTTGTGATTGACGTTATTAGTGTCATGTGTGTACATGTTGAATGACCAAAAATTGACGGGACCCGTGAAGATCCGGGTCAGCAGCCCATGCTTACCGCAAATGGCAACTTTGCTTGTCGTAAGAGCCGATTAACAGAATCGGGTGGTCAGGCTCGCTGACTTGTTAATGTATGGCATTGTATCCCAATAGCGTGGATCGATGCTCATGATGTCAATCACTGGATTGTCTGATCTAGACTTGATTATTTACAGAACGCCGTCATATAGCTGGAATATTGCTGAGTGCGACGCTAAGCGAAAAACAACAAAAATGTCAGTTAGTGGACATCCGCCGTTGATTGATTTTTGAGTCAAATTTGCTAGTATTGCCAACTGAAGAAGCAGAAAGTCACTCACCTGCAAAATAATTGTTTTCGACATCAGCATTTGCGATCCATTTGGTTGCTACATCCTGAGGCGCATTGCAGGTCATCTGACTGTACAAAATTGTAGTTGGCGATGTTCACTTTGGTCATGTCGACGTCTCTGTACATGGAAACAGGGACACGGTGATGGATGAAGGACTCGCAGTTCCATCTGGCGTCCATCACCAGCCGCTCACAGTTGGTCTTCAGATGACGGTGCTCCTCCCAGCGTCTGACGGCTCCAGTCTCCGCGTCCAGAACCACCCACTTCCAGTGGTAGTTGACAGAACAGTCCAGAACAGTGTGAGCAATCCAGTACCCGGACTTAGACGGGTACTCTCTGGCGCGGATGGCGTTCTTTGGCTCACAGGACCCGAAACAGGCCTCAGAACCCGCCACAGCCAACACCTCTCCTGGCTGACACTGGTATCGAGTGCGAATGTCTGCTCGGCATGTGCGGGAGATGAACTGAGAGTGTTTAAGACCCCATCGGACCTGCATAGTGCCGTTGAAGAAGTTCAGATTTGTCCTGCAACAGTTAAGTTCACATATTCACCAGTCAGTATTATTCACTGGGAACGAATGTGTCCGTACAATCAGCTCTGTCTGAAGAAGCTGAGACAATTGCACAACTAAACACTGGTTCTAGATTTGGACCGATAAATGTTATTTATCATACGAGATAAAGTTAAGTTAACTTTTTGAAAGATCAAGTAAAGACAATTACATTACATGTATTATCATTCAATTCATTATCACATTGAAGAATCCGTGTATGAAATAGATGTATTGCATGCACATCGCTATAGAAGTTCAATATTAGTTTGCTATTAGATATATGAAATATTGCCCGAATTGAAACTGTTCCACGGAATTCCGTTGTTGTCCGTGGAGGAGATGGTGGTTGTGGAGGAGATGGTGGTTGTGGAGGAGATGGTGGTTGCATGTGGATAAGTATTGTGTGCCTGTGGTCGAGCTGATGGTTGTGGAGGAGATGGTGGTTGTGGAGGAGATGATGGTTGTGGAGGAGATGGTGGTTGCATGTGGATAAGTGGTGTGTGTCTGTGGTCGAAATGGTGGTTGTCCGTGGAGGAGATGGTGGTTGCATGGGGATAA